GGTATATAGTCACTTTTGTATTATTATCATAGACTTGCTAATAACGATGTTTGAGCAAATAATATGTTCCACTTAACGTGTAATATTAAAAATTTGGAAGATATAAGTAAAATCTAAGAGTTAAAAAAACTCATAATTTGACTATGCACAGTTAGTCACTGTGTCTTGAAATGAGTCTTACTGATTTTCCCATCTGAATGGGTATATAGTCACTTTTGTATTATTATCATAGACTTGCTAATAACGATGACCTTTAATTCCAGAAATTATTCTGATTACTCATTGTGCATTAATCTTTCAGGATACAGCTAGATTTATTGGAGTTTCTTCATTCGGAGCTTCTATCTACCACCCCTCCCATAACTAGAACTTATCCCTTTTATCAATATTTTCCAATAATTACTCTTAATTTTTAATATAACATGCAAATGTATATTTTTCTAACATCTTGAATTAACTGATACCCAGAGCCTTCCTTCAGAAAAGTGAGGGTCCCAACATGGTTTGAATGCGTTCTTTTCCTCTCCCACCATCTAATAACTCTCTTGTTATCTCTGGCAATTGAAAAAGTTTTAGTAGAAAATTTGTAACATATAAAAAGTAGTTACCAAGAACAATAATGGTATTATCTCATTCAGCAAGTCCAACAAAAGAGTGTCCAGTGGTGTCCAGTTCCCACTGCACTGTTGGTCTATGGATTCAAAAAGGAAGCCCAACTCTCACAATTACTGCCCCAAAGGGACAACACTAATTGGGCTCATGGAAAATAAAAATCATTCCTGCTACTTCAATATACATAAAATGGACTCTGTACCCTGATTATGATTAAATTCCAGATTATTCTACAAATTTTTGTTGTTAGTGTTTATTGTGGTTCAGCACTAAACATTACTACATTTTTTATAAGGATTTGTTCTTCTATTTTTTAAAGATTTACTTATTTTTATTTTATGTGTTTGAGTGTTTTGCCTTCATGTATGTATGTGCAAAATGCATATGGTGCCTGTGGAGATCAGAAGAGGGCATTGGAGCCCTGGAACTGGAGTTACGGGAGGCTGTGAGTCACATGTGGGTGCAGGGAACCAAACTCAGGACCTCTGCAAGAGCGGCCAGTGTTCTTAACTGGTGAGCCAGCTGTCCAGTTGTGGGGTTTATTCTTCCTATTTTATTTTTCTTTTCTTGCAGTAACTGGGGATTGAACCCAGGGCCTCATGCATGCTAAGCAAGTGCTCCACCAATGAGCTGCATCCCCCATCCTAGGAATCTGTTCTTGCAGCCCCTCTTGGGGGGATTTAGTTTCCTTTTCAGAAGAGCAAGTGCATTCTCCCAGAGTTTAAATGTGGATCTGTCTTCCATGCCTCCTAGCATTTCTTCCATATTTTCCCCTTTTGGCCTCCTGTGCTGAGCTGTGGGAAAATGCCTTCTCTGGGTCTTCTGTCTCACTAGTTTTCTTATTGGACAACTTTGCAGTTCAACTCACTAGAGAGTTTCCATTTCCATGGTGTCTACTCCATTCTTTTTTTAGACTCTTCACCTCCTTCTGAGGAAGTGTATTACAAATGCCTGTTTCTAGGGTGTTAACCTCCCTCAGGTCTTGAGTTTGATTCCCTGCTATAATGGTGTTTGCTCTCTGTGGTGTCCTGTTTCTTGGTTGTGAAATCCAAATGTGTTTAGGGATCCTAGGGGTCCTTGTAAAAGTGCTTGCTATTCTGTTTGAGTAGAGAAGATGGATTAAACTAGTCCATTGTGGTGCTGCTATAACAAATTATTGCAAACTCAGCACCTTAAAACAAGGAACATTTATTATCGTACAGTTCTGCAAAGTTGAAGTCTGACACAAGTCTTACTGGTCTATAATCAAGGCATCAATAAGGCTGAATCTTCATGTAGGCAGTGGGGAAATTCATTTGTCACTTCCAGTTTCTTGAGGCTGCCCACACTCCTTGGCTCATGGCCTTTGCTGTGGTTTGAATGTTCTATTAGTTATTTTTTGTTGCTGTGGTAAAATGCTATCACCAAAAGTGACTTATGGAAGAGTTCATTTCAGTTTACAGTTCCAGAGGGGAAATCCATGGGGGAGGCATGGCAGCAGGCATCTAGAGCAGGAAGCTGAGAGATTGCGTCTGCAACACAAACAAGAAGCAGACAATGAACTGCAAGTGGGGTAAGGGTATAAACTCTCAATGCCTGCCTCCCAGGGCCTGGAGAGATGGCTCAGTGCTTAAGAGCGCTGGCTGCTGTTGCAGAGGACCCAGGTTTGGTTCCCAGCACCCACATGGGAGATAACAATAGTCCATAACTCCAGTTCCAGGAGATCCGATGCCTTCTTCTGGCCTCTGCAGGCATTGCATGACACAGGTGCACTAACATACATGCAGGCAAAATACTCATACACATAAAATAAAAATAAATGAATTCTCCTCTCAACATCTGCCCCCAGTGATGTACTTCTTCTGCAAGGCTAGATCACCTCCCAAACAGTCCCACCAACAACTGTTCAAACACCTGAGCCTGTGGGGGACTTTTCTCACTCAAAACACCACATATGTTGTCCTATAGGATTCATGTACTTGAAACTTAATCATCAAAGTCATAGGTGAATGACATTTGGAGGTGAGATCTTTGACAGAGCCATCATGCATAGATTAATCTACTTATGAATTAATGAATTAATGGGACATTAGGGATTGGCTTTGCTATGAGTTTCTTTCTCTCTCATTTTATCTCTCTTATAAGCTTTTTCTATCTTGCCACGTGATACCCAAATCACTTTGGGACTTTGTAAAGAGTCCCTACCAGCAAGGAGACCCTCACCAGGTGCATCCCTTCAACCTTATACTTCTTAGTTTCCAGAACTGTAAGAGATAAATTTCTTTTCTTTAAAAATTTCCCAGTCTCTAGTATTATGTTATAGCAATAAGAAAACGGATGAAGACTGCCCCTTCCTCCATTTTCAAAGCCAACAATGGTAGGCCCAGTCCTTCTTGTATTGTAGAATTCTGATCTCTTCTGCCTCCCTCTTCCATTTTTGACCTCCAGTGGCAAGTAAGTTTTCAGATGTTTATGACTGTACATGGTTGTTTTTGTGGCCAGCTGGGAGAGGTTGCCTGATAGGAGTGGTGAGGAGCTTTAACCAGATGCCATTTTATAATAAGTTCTCCTACCCAGAAACATTTTTACTCTTCCAATGAGTAGTTGGTCCAAACCCCAATCATCCCTTGACTATTTTACCATTCCCAATATATCTTTTGGTGATGGATAGTGGATCATTTTGTAAAACAACAACAACAATAACAAAAATGAATAACAATGAGTAGGGAAAATCTGCTCCTGGTTATCCTTGAAACACAAGATACTATTTCAGAAATGTCTGCTTTTGTGCCTCAATCTCATAGCTACATTTCTGTACAGAACAGAGCCTAAAAGACATTGGAACCAGGCTGGTGGACTCAACCATTTGTCCCAACTGAACATGAGCTCTGTAGCCTCATGTACCTGCCTTGACGTCTCCCTCAGATAATCCTTTCTTGTCACTCAACATCATTATCAGTGACTTGGTGTCTATGATTCGTTGTGATGGCCAGAGGCCTTCTGGGGCCTGAGAAAGTAGTTATTTTTTACATACCATAGCTTTAGCTTCATACATCTTCTAGATTCTTTATGTGCTTTGTCTTTCTTTTCCTTCCTTCCTTCCTTCCTTCCTTCCTTCCTTCCTTCCCTCCCTCCCTCCCTTCTTCCTTCCTTCCTTTCTTTTTCTTTCTTTCTTTCTTTCTTTCTCTCTCTCTTTCTCTCTTTCTTTCTTTCTTTCTTTCTCTCTCTCTTTCTCTCTTTCTTTCTTTCTTTCTTTCTCTCTCTCTTTCTCTCTTTCTTTCTTTCTTTCTTTCTCTCTCTCTTTCTCTCTTTCTTTCTTTCTTTCTTTCTCTCTCTCTTTCTCTCTTTCTTTCTTTCTTTCTTTCTTTCTTTCTTTCTTTCTTCTGAGACACACTCTTACTATGTGGCCAAGACTGTCCTCAAACTCCAATCCTCTGCCCAAGCCTCTCTAGAGCGGGGGTTCCCCTATATCACCATGACCAACTTCTTCATGTATTTTAACATAGTTTTCTCTCTCCCCTTTGTCACTGTGTTAACTGTAGGGACTTTATATTTTCAGATTATTAAAGGCTGAGGCATTCAATTTGTGGCTTCTGGTTCATTGTTGGTTGGAAAAAATACATATCTGTTTTAATGAAAAGTATGTCAAAAGATAAAATCCAGTGACTAAAAATAAATCTCTGAGATTAAAAGAACAGATGAGATTTGGATCACTGCTAGGGCCCAAATGTTTCTGTTTTCCTGAAATTTGTATGCGGAAACCTAATCAGCAACGTGATGGTATGAGGGGCTGGGATGAGAGCAGGAGGACAGGGTGCCACTGTGAGAACCAAGTTGGCTATGGAGACTTGTTTGGCTTTAGGGTCTGGTACAGGCCGTCTTTCTGGCTTCTGCCCCCTGTGTAGGCTTTAGATTCTTTTCTGTGTAGTTCACAGTCTGAATGATGTGGATTCTTGAGTGCATGTCTATAGACTGAGCCTTGCTTGCCCGTTTATTTCTCTGCATCTCCTTTCCCTTTCTCACCCTTCCCTGGCTCTTTGGTGAGTTTGCTGCTTGCGTCTCTGTTACCTCTTGCCCGGGTAGCTGTAGCTAGTACATTTGCCTTTAAATGTTTTATGACAAACAACACTCAGGAGGCTGCTCCAGCCTCGAGAAAGTTCTAGCTGAGTGTGAAACAAAGGTGAGCCCTACCTTGGGAAGAAGCCCCTAGACATGTTGAAACATATAACTGCAATGCTTTGGGTAGAAGTCAGTATTGTCCCCTCCTGCTGCAAGCTGAAAAATACCACATTAAACTAAGTGACAGTAATGAGTATGAGACTGAATGAGGAAATCACTGAGATTTTGCTATGGATGTTTGAAAGCACTCACCTAACCTTCATTCATCTTAATGTCTGTTATATTCCTAGAACTTGAACTCGAATCAAAATGCTCTGAAGAGCAGTTATAAGACTACTTCAGGAGACTCACTGCATCATGACCCAAAACAAAGAACCTGCTTTTGGATGTTTTTATTTTGTTTGCATCATAGCCTTAACAGTCGGAAGCATAATCCAGTTCTCTGATGAAGCTGAGTTTGCTATAGACATGTCAAGAAAACGCCTTACTCATGTTCCAAAAGACTTGCCATCAAGAACAGAGATCTTAGATTTGTCTCAAAATGACATAGCTGACCTTCGAATGTCTGATATCAGCTTTTTGTCAGGATTGAAGGTTTTGAGACTTTCCCATAACAGAATTGAGAGCCTTGATTTTAATGTTTTCAAGTTCAACCAGGATTTGGAATACTTGGATGTATCTCACAATTGGCTGCAAAACATATCTTGCTATCCTGTAGTGAGTTTCAGACACTTAGACCTCTCATTCAACCCCTTCCATGCGCTGCCCATGTGTAAAGAATTTGGCAACTTGACACAGCTGAATTTCTTGGGGCTCAGTACTACAAAGTTCCAACAACTAGACCTGCTACCAATTGCTCATTTGCACCTAAATTACCTTCTTCTGGACTTAGCAGGTTATTATGTTAAAGAAATGGAGGTCGAAAGTCTTCAGATTCTAAATACCAAAACACTTCACTTAGTCTTTCATCCAAATAGTTTGTTCTCTGTGAAAGTGAACATGTCAGTGAATACTTTAGGGTGCTTACAACTGAGTAATATTAAACTGAATGATGACAACTGCCAACTTTTTACTAAATTTTTATTAGAACTCACTAGAGTCCCGTCCTTATTGAACTTTACGCTGAATCACATGGAAACGACTTGGCAATGCCTGATTAGATTCTTCCAGTTCCTTTGGCCCAGATCTGTGGAATATCTCAACATTTACAACTTAACAATAACTGAAAGTATTGATGAAGGATATTTTACTTATTCCAAAACAGCATTGAAAGCATTGAGCATAGAGCATATTACAAACCAAGTGTTCCTCTTTTCACAGACCACATTATACACTGTGTTTTCTGAAATGAACATCATGAGGCTGACCATCTCTGACACACCTTTTATTCACATGCTTTGTCCACGTGTACCAAGCACATTTAGATTTTTGAACTTCACCCAGAATGTTTTCACAGATAGTGTCTTTCAAAACTGCTCTACCTTAATAAGACTGGAGACACTTATCTTAAAAAAGAATGGCTTGAAAAACCTTTTCAAGGTAGGTCTCATGACTAAGAATATGTTATCTCTGGAAACACTGGATGTTAGCTGGAATTCCTTGGACTCAAATATGTATGAGGGAATATGTAGCTGGGCTGAGACTATAGCGGTGCTGAATTTGTCTTCCAATGTGCTTACTGACTCTGTCTTCAGATGCTTACCTCCTAGGGTCAAGGTACTTGACCTTCACAATAACAGAATAAAGAGCATTCCTAAAGGAATCATGAAACTAGAAACTCTGCAAGAACTCAATGTTGCATCTAATTCTTTAACTGACCTTCCTGGATGCGGGGCCTTCAGCAGCCTTTCTGTGCTGGTTATTGACCATAATTCAGTTTCCCACCCCTCAGCCGATTTCTTCCAGACCTGCCAGAAGATTAGCTCCATCGCAGCAGGGAACAACCCATTCCGATGTACATGTGAGCTGAGAGAATTTGTCAAAAAAATAGGCCAAGTATCAAGAGAAGTGGTGGAGGGCTGGCCTGATTCTTACAAGTGTGACTACCCAGATAGCTCCAAGGGAACCCCACTGCAGGACTTTCACATGTCTCCACTGTCCTGCAATACTGTTCTGCTGACTGTCACCATCGGGGTCACCATGCTGGTGTTGGCTGCCACTGTGGCCTTCCTCTGCCTCTACTTTGACCTGCCCTGGTATCTCAGGATGTTGTATCAGTGGACCCAGACCCGGCGCAGGGCTAGGAACATTCCCTTAGAAGAACTCCAGAGAAATCTCCAGTTCCATGCCTTTGTTTCATACAGTGAATATGATTCTGCCTGGGTGAAGAATGAATTGGTACCTTTCCTAGAAAAAGAAGATATCAAGATTTGCCTCCACGAGAGAAACTTTGTCCCTGGCAAGAGCATTGTGGAAAATATCATAAATTTCATTGAAAAGAGTCACAAGTCCATCTTTGTATTGTCTCCCCACTTCGTCCAGAGTGAGTGGTGCCATTATGAACTCTACTTTGCCCATCACAATCTCTTCCATGAAGGTTCTGATAACTTAATCCTGATCTTGCTGGAACCCATCCCACAGGACATCATTCCCAGCAAGTACCACAAACTGAAGGCTCTCATGGCAAAGCGGACTTACTTGGCATGGCCCACAGAGAAGAGCAAACGTGGACTTTTTTGGGCAAATATTCGAGCTGCTTTTAATATGAAATTAACATTAGTCGCTGAAAATGATGAAACCTTGAAGAGGTCAGGAGATCTGAATTAATAAACTGTCAGCTTGGACTCTGATGAGCATTGTGGTTTTAAGTTGCTAAAGATACGCCTTTAATCCCAGCACCCATAAGGCAGAGGCAGGTGGATCTCTGTGAGTGCGAGCCAGTCTGGTTTACTTAGTGAGTTCCAGGCCAGCTGGGATTACAGGGAGACCCTGTCTCAAAAAGACACACATACACACAAACAAAGATACTTCTATTTTGGTTTGGAGATAAAATGTTCCCAAAGGATCATGTGTTGAAGGCCTTGGGGACAAATCCTGGGGGTGCTATTGAGTAGTGATTGGGTTATGAAGGTTCCATTCTCATTAATGGATTGACCCACTGATGAGTTCATAGCTGAATGGGCTATTATGAGGTGGGGTTTAGGTGAAGGATGTAGGTCACCTGGGACATATCTTTGAAGGGTATATTTTTTTCAAGGCTCATTTTTTTTTTTTAAAACAGGGTCTCACTATATATAGTCCAGGCTGTTCATGAGTTCATAGTTTTCCGCCTGCCTCGGCCTCCCAGGTGCTGGGATTTCAGGTATGTACCACCATGGCCAGTCCCAGGTGTGTTCTCATTCTCTCTCTCTCTCTCTCTCTCTCTCTCTCTCTCTCTCTCTCTCTCTCTCTCCTGAACACCATGGGAGAGTGCTTCCTTCATCACATGCCCCTACTGCCATTGCCATGATACTCTGCATGGCCTCAGGCCCCAAAGCGAGTTGGCTGAACTTGGATTGAAACCTCTGAAGCATGAGCCAAGCTCAACTTTTCATCCTTCGTTTGTCTCAGGTATTCTGTTACAGTGACACAAAGCTAACAGTTTCCACTTTCTTCACATCTTTGACAGAGACTTGATGACAGCCTGGTTTTAACTGAGCTATGGGATTAGCTAAGGGGTGGATGTGATACTCATTTTGCCAGACAGAGGCAGCTCAGTCTCCTCTGCCTTTGCTAGTCTCTCTCACATTGACACAGTTCTTTTTGTAAATGCTCAGTCACTCACAGAATGGTTCCTCTCATTTCTCCTTTACCAAACGACTTCTCTGTGAGCAGAAGTGCTTCATGTTAGCAAGAAAAGGGTCAACTTCAGAATCATATGTGCTGGTCCTTGAACCATCATGTGGGTCTTCATTGGCCTTTAGCTGAGCTTTATCATCCTGTTGAAATTTGAGGCTTTAGAAAAAATGATAGCAGTTATACAGTATAAGAAAATACTTTTCCCACATCTGAATAACAGATCATTAATTTTTTTGAACTGCCAAACAAACATGTAATTAACCTGGGGGACTAATGACATAATAATGTATGTATAAAAGAGGAAATACACCCTTAGTCATGACTGTTGCAGTCAATAGTAGGGATAGACTTGCTTGCCAAGGGACACAGAGCCAGCTTTGCCTGTAACTGGATACTGAACAGGGTTTTTCTGATTGTCTTAGGATTAGGCTAATGCTCAACACTGGCTAGGGCAATAATTGGACTCCAGAGATAGTAGGCACAGCTAGGATGGACTTCCTTTAAAAGAGCAGACAGAAGTCAGTAATTATCAGTCCATCTCCAGAACACTAGATTCAAGAGGGAGATTAAAGAGCCACTAAGTAAAGGTTCTAGACCATGGAGTCATTGCTTTGAACTTCTTCCAAAAGTGAATGAGAAGTGGTCTGAGCACAGAAGTCTCCTGACCCCCTCCCTCATGACTGAAACCTTGCAGAAGACCAGGAATTCATAGTTTCAGGATAGCAGGTGGAGTGTGAGGTGAGCTCTTCAAGAGCTTGATGGGTGTCTTGTGGAGTCTTGAAGTGTGGAGGAGTGTTGTGAACATAGGGACTAGCAAATAGTGCTTCACAAAAATAAGTGCTTGATAAGTGTTTGTTAAGTGGGTAGAAAAGTGCTTCCTGCTTGGAGAATTCAAAGGTGGAATGTTGGCTTGGGCAAATGGCAGGAGAAGAGGAGGGAAGCCATAACTGCAACTTGCCTTCCCATTATTGATGTAGAAAAGCATATGGATTCCTGTGTGCCAGACTACCATGAGCAGGGCAACTGGGGATGAGCTGTCACAATGAGAGCTCAGTCAACAAGGCAGCCTGTTGTGTAAAGGGTCTGTGGCAGCAAGAGGCTGTATGGTTAGGGGTCAGGAAGAGTAGTTTCATAGGTTGGTGGGAGGGGTTGCTGCAAGAGAGCAGCCAGATGATGTGCCAAGGAACTATGTATCATTGAGTCCACTCAAGGACTCCCAGTATTCCACAGATGTCCCCCTGAAAGAGCCAACACTTAGATTCCACCTTAATAGAAAGCAAGGGTTATGATGGTCTGCTTCGTTATGCAATAATTAGTGTCAGAATTATTTTCTCCTCTTTATGTAGCATGCTACTCTCTTGCAAAGTCTGGGGATATTCAGAATATACAAAGGCAGAAAAGAAATGGAAAAATAAATCAACCATATGCCTTATTCTTTTCACTGCAAGAAAGGCCTGAGGGAGGACCAAACCAAATTTTGAATGAGGTATAAGATTGCCATTAAACTGGACTGTTCTGAATGGTGTAATCCTGACATAAAGTTACAAGTACTAAAACAAGTCTTAAGAGTTTCTAAAATATATGGACGGCTTTATCCCAAGATTCAGATGTGATGGAGGGAGACCTAACGCAACCTGGTTGGAAGGTAATGCTAGAGAGAAAGCAAATCCTTTCCTTCTGGGACTTCATTCAATACATTAGTTTCATAAGGAATCGTTGTGAAGAAATAAGCAAGCCTTAGAGAAAACGGATTAGTTCCTTCCTATCTACATTAGCCCTTCCTTGCTTGTTAGGAGAACGTTTATTTGCCTTCTTATGCCCTCTCTAAAGTGACAAATTCTTGCACAGCCTCTGGAACTGTTTCCTAAAACTAAAAACAACAACCAACACCACCAAAAAATACCTATGGCACAGATTTTAAATCATCAAATAATTTTAAATAGTATCGATGTATTTCCCATCAAATATCATTGTTAGAAAATAGTTTTTCACATTCTAAAGAAGAATTGAAAACCTTTGTTTTTGCCAGAAATTAAAGCACACACACATTTCAGACATGAAGTTCTATTATAAGAGAGTCATTTCTTTTTCATGTAAAGGTTTTCTTTCTCCGTGAATCCTCTACATCTATTGAATTCTGGTTCCAAGTAGCATGTGCCATCTTGAGAAAGAAGGTGTTAATTTCTGGCTACAAAGGTGTCTTGCAGAACCAAGAAACCGGAACACATCTGGGCTCCAAGGAAGTCTGGAAGTAGGAATGAAAATGACATCATTCATATTGGATTAAAGTCAAATCCTTACGCCCTCATTTAATGCTGATTACCTCTTTAAAGGCCCTATCTTCAAATATACTACCATTCTAAGATACTGGAAGTTAGGGCTTCAACATAGGAATTTGAAGCAGAGCACAAATCAAGCCTTAACAGATGACCATGTACATAAACTGAAAAATGTTTTGGCCAAAAGTACTAGTTGTCTCCAATAGCCATTATTCCCTTATCTAGCACTAGAATGCTTGATTTGCACCAGGGCACCTGACAGCCCAGCTACAGACTACATTCCCCAGCCTCCTTGTAACTAGATATGGGCATGTGACTAAACTCTTAGTAATAGGGGATGAGTGGAACCTGTGGGCCACTCTGGGCCCTGTCCTAAGAAAGATACCCCTTCCATTTTTCCATTGGATGAGAGATAAGAATTGGAGGAACCTTCTAGAACCAAGAAATGGAAGTCAGATGTTAGAGATGTGCTCTTCATCATTTTGAGCTGTTCCAGCCAGCCTCCCCACATGGCCTAGACTGCTTGACTGTGTTTGTACAGGAGACATAAACTTCCACCCTGTTTAGATCTCTATATTTTATATTCCTTTCATACAGAATCTCAAGGTGTATACATGTATACAACATGTATACAAGGTATATAGATGTATACAACACAGAACAATGGTACAACTTTCTCTGATTCCCTATCTCTACCCACATGCTAGGATAGTATGTGTGTGTCATTCTACAACCTGAAGCAGGGTCTCCATCACGTCAAGGCAGCAGTATTTTCTGTCTGTACCACTGCACTAGCCTCTTAGTTGACCTCTTTGTTCTTACTCTTGCCTCACACATCTTCCAAACAGCATTGAGAATAGTTGGTTATACACTACAGATTACATTAAACCATCCTCCCCTTTACATTTGGAACAAAGGTCAAACTCCCCATCAAGACATATGATGTTGCCAGGATCTGCGTCTCCCTCACCTCAGATCTCGCCTCTCTTTCTGCTCTCCCCCAGCCCACACTCCAACCCCAATGGCCTTCTAGCTATTGCACACACTGGTTTCCACCTAGGTCATCTGCACTTGGCCTCAGGGAATTACACTGATTTTCATCTGAGTCACCTGTACACTCAGCATGTTCCCCTCACATCATGCCATCACCTCCTCGGAGGACTTGACTTCATTTCCATGATTCTCTGCTTATTTTCTTCACAGAACACGAGTCACCTGTACACTCAGCATGTTCCCCTCACATCATGCCATCACCTCCTCAGAGGACTTGACTTCATTTCCATGATTCTCTGCTTATTTTCTTCACAGAACATGTCACTTTCATTAGTCAGGGTTCTCTAGAAGAATGAGCCAATCAAAGGGACTAGCTCTGTATCTATAGGTTGTAAGGGTATTTAGAGGACTGGTTATATGATAAGAGGCTGAGTAGCCCAACAATGGCTGTCTAGATACTGGAGAGGCAGAGAATCTGGTAGCTACTCAGTCCAAAAAGCTGGCTACCTCAGTGGTCCAGATCAGGCTCATCACTGGTATTGAGGCCATGCTGAAAGGCCAAAGAAATTGGAGCCTAATGTCAGCAGAAATAGCAAAAGCCATAAGTGAACTCTTTCAGAAAGAAGAGTTTTGTACCCTGTAAACTGACTTCCTCCACTTTCTTCCATGTGGACCCATGCTGTTGGATGATGCTGTCTACATTCAGGGTGAGTGCTCCTCTAGTCACTCTCTCATGGGTCAATTATTTCTGGAAAGCTTCCTTCCAAGACACACAAATGTGCATTTCCCCAGTCCTAGATATCTCTTATTCCAGTCAAACTGACAAGCAAGACCAACCATCACATCTGTTTACTTGCTTCTTATTCTCTTTCAGTAACATATAGGAGAATGGGACCCTTCTCTGTGAGTGCTCTGCTTCTCCCTGGTGCTGGGTGGATAGTACATGACCCATGGTAGACACAGTGAAAACTTGGATAAGCAAATAGCCCTGATTGACCACAGTGTCTTTCAAATTTCCCATGATGTTAGCTTAAAGGCCAGCATTTGTTACTTTTCTGTTGCTGTAATAAAACACCATGATCAAAAGTGACTGACGAAAAAAAGGAAGTTTATTTTGGCTTCTTGTTCCATAGGGAGCATTCATCATGGCAGGAAGGCACGGCAGCAAGTGGCAGGCATGGCAATAGGAAGCAAGGAGCTCACATCTTGAACTGCAAACATGAAGCAGAGAGAGCAAGCTGGAAGTGGGACAAGGCTGTGAATCAATACAGTTATACAATATTGAACTGAGTATAAGCCCTGTAAGACATAAAATTGAATGAGTTTTTAACCCTCAAAAAAGATCCTCATTTCATTTTAAAATATACTGTTTCTTACAGAAAGACTCATTATTTTTGCTACTAACATGGAGATGTTGGCGCATGCGTCTCTAATCTGTATGTATCTGATTATTACTAGTCATAATTGGTTGCACTTGGATCCTTGACACCTGTGTAAGTCTATAAAGTCATTGGGTAGTGACCTAGTTTGTTCTTCATTGCTGTGACAAAATACTTTCAACAATACCAACTTGGGGAGGAAAGGGTTTATTCAGCTTACATCTCCCAGGTTGCAGTTCATCAGGGAGCCCAAGGTAGGAACTCAGGGCAGGAACCTGGAGGCAGGAGCTGGAGCACAAGCC